CTCGTATGCCGGCCGTGAAAGCCTTCGACAATACATTGTATGAGTTAAGCTTATCATATTTGCTAAAGGAGGACTTGGCAGCTTTGTAGATATTTTCTAGTAGGCCATTAGTGTGGGTGGTGGCTGACTATGCTTCTCCAATGGGATTGAAGGCACAACACCTTGCAGGAGCAAGCTTGTTCTAAGTTTCATAAGCTAGTTTGATGCAAGTCTTGATCCACTTGGAGATCATGGTGGAAGAGACTCTGTATCCCAGGTGGGGCTTTTAGAAGGAATCCAGATGCTATACAAAATTCTGAATTTCTCTGTTCTGCTCAGATAGATCTTGATGGCTCATCTGATGTCTGATTTGTGCCAATCCCTCTATGACTGGGTCTTGGGAATAGGGCAGAAGGGACGGAGGATCCCTTCCTTGCTCCTGTAAAAGTTCAAGTTAACCTTAGACATGATGGGTGGTTCTAGGCACAGAGCAATGGTGTGTGGATGATACAAACTCTTTCTTTGTGGACAGTGTCCTTATTTGTATTAACAACCATTTGTTCAGCAACTGTTCAAAGTTATGACTGTGCTGAACGAAGGGACTTGTGACTGGTCCTTGAAGCTGCAGCCATTGCAGCATCCCTGTGGTCACGTGATCCCAATTCAGGCGCTTGGCCAAAGGCTCAAAATTATGACTGTCACAGCATCCTGCAGTCACATGATCACCATTTGCAATCTTCCTTGCCAGCTTCCTACAAGCAAAGTCAATGGGGAAGCCAACAGGAGGTCCCAAATGGCGATCTCATGATGTCACACTTAACGACTGCACGGAATTCACTTAACTGCAACTGGAACTGCTGTTGTAAGTAGGCACGGTCACGTGACATCACATTTTAGAACTGCGGCGCTCCCAATTACCATAGTTAACTGAGGACTACCTGTATACACAGGCAAAGTTATGGCATTTGGGAATGCCATTTTCCATGTCAGATGCTGTGAGACTGACTCACACAAAGGCTTATAATACTCAAGGTCCCACAGTGAACACCAGTGGATAGTGATTGACTTAGTGGGAAAGCTCCCTTGCCTGAGCATCCTCTGTTCTGGTAGGATGAGTTGAGTTAGCTCTGTGGCCCACAGGACCGAAGCCATGGCAAAGAATGAGGTGGAAAGGACAGCTTTTGGGGCTAGGCCTCTGTGCTGAAGGATCTTGATTTTCCTGTCCTCTGGCTTCCCCATCTTTATTTATAACTGCCATGAGGTCAGTTGCATAATGACCTATTTTTTGACCATTGCTAAACATCTGTACTGTTTGCAACACTAAAGCCATCTTATGTTCCCTGACATCATACTGGCAAAACAATGACTATATTCCATCCTTTTATACTTGCCAAAATAGTAACTTTTAGGACAGAACACATAAACAAAGCAAAACAAAAATCTTAGAATCTATCCTGCTCACTGTTGTTTACACCAGCTATGCCAGGGGAGGATTAGGAGAGTGGAAATCCAACAGATCCAAAGGTTACTATGTTAAGAAAAAGTCATTGGCACTTTTCAGGCAGATTTTTCCCAGATCTACTTAGAAATGCCAGAGAATGGGATTAAACTTGGAATGTTTTTCATGCAAAGCATGTGCTTTACCCCTGAGTTACAGCCTCTTTCAAATTTGTAATTCCAAAATAAGAATATTTGGTGAGTCTAAATCCCACTGAAATTTGTGGGATTTCAACATATGTTTAAATTATAAAGTACGTGTCATTCTCCAGATTCCAACCTTAATGATATTTATGAAAGCATAAAGAAGAGATGCCAGAAAATTGGATTAAACCTCCCTTTTAGTTTATGAAACCTGGAACTGTGGAGACATACACGTTTTTGAAAGCATTAAAATGGGGCGGATGTTAACCTAAGACTACGATGAACATAAAGAGGACTCCTATAATTGCAGACAGAACAGGAAGGGTAAAAGGAAAAATAAAACCCTTCCATCTTTTCCTTTGCATTCTCGTCCTGCATGATATTGCTCCACAAAGAGTCTGCATGTAAATTGACTGACATTCCAGGCAAACATGTTTGATTGAAAATCCACTAGGGAGTATAAAGTGAGGGATGCCGAAAGCTAATTGCCAAAGGCAATTTGAGGCACTAAAATAGCAGGAAGGGAAAGAGTTAAGCAACACCTCTCCTATTCTAATTGTTCTTCCCTGACTCTGTTGTGAGTAAGTAGTTGGGTCCTCGTGCATGTGAACCCTAAGAGTGACATGTTTATTACAAGTGATATATATTGGTTGGTGAAAACACCATCCCTGTGTGTTTACTTTGTAATGTAAAATAATGCTCAACAGATGATGGGAGATCATCTTTCACACACACACACACACACACCCATTTTAGCAGGGGGCAGAGGAATTCACACACATACACACACACATAAAAAGGAGTCACCATATGATGAAGCCACATCAAACAGTACATTTCACTAGGGGTGAGGCTAATATACAGTAGGTCATGCCTCCCTCATACCTATGGCACTAACACACCTCAGTTACACCTTTTTATGATGTTGCTTCATCTTGTGGTCAGGCCATGACTCATCCTTAGCTGTACCAATGTTGGAATAGCATTATTGCTCTTCTTCCCGTACCATCCAAGAACAAATGGGTAAAATTGGTTAGATTTTCTCTTGGCGGGAGAGGAGTGATTTGAATCTGGGGCAGTCGGGCCCACTTCGCGTTCCATGGAATGGGCGCTGCATCTGCTGAATTCTGCCAAATTTCCTGGCCTCCCCATCCCGCTCCGATGTCTGGAAATTAGCACAGATCCATCCGTGTGGGGAATCAGGCGTGGCCTTGTGGAAGTGGTGGCACGCCTGGTTCCGTCTGCCTTTCCGTCTGGGGTGATCGATGCTGGATTTACACCGTCTCGCAGTCTCCTCCGCCGAGGCAGGCCAACTTTTCAAACCGGCACAACCGCCATGTCGCCCCAACATGTCTCCAAACGCTTCTCTTTGGCGAGGCACCCGAAAGGCCCTTCCGTCCTGCCCTCACCTATAAGCGGACGCTCCTGCGGGCAAGGCTAATCTCTGCTCTCTGCTCGACTTTTACCCAGATCCCTTTAGAAGTCTTTTCATTCAGCTGAGGAGATCTAGCTGAAGGCACCCCGGCCTTCCCCACCAGCAATCATCAATGGGACACGTTTGCAGAGGAAATGTGGGTCAGCCAATTTTTTTTTTTTTAAGTGTGAGGTGAGGAAGGAGAGTGAGGTAGTTTGCGGCCTTTTCTTCCCCCCAAATATGGATCGGGTTTTTTTGTTTTTTTCCACTTTTCCTGAAATCTCCCCCTCGAGGAGCATGTTTTTGGGTGGGTCCCCACGAACCGTGCCAGTCCCTCTTCTCTAAGCTTGGTATTCCCCCTAAAAGCAACCAATGGTGGACCACGAAAAGCAAAGCCTCCTTCGTGCATTCTTGGCGGCTTAAGCGGCGTCTCTCTCGCCTTTTTCCCCAGGCAAGCTCCGGCCAAGCCGATGACATTTCCATAACGCTTCCTGGCAGAAAGGGGAAGAGGCTTCACTCCGAGCCCAGCTTTGCCACCCTCCCGGAGTCCCGGCTCGACCACAG